ATGATAAACGGAGAAAAGATTGAAGTTGTAAAGGATTTCATTTTACTTGGATCCCCAATCAAAGCCTATGGGAGCAGAGGTCAGGAAATCAAAAGACGCATTGCATTGGGGAAATCTGCTGCAAAAGACTTTTTTAAAATGTTGAAAAGCAAAGATGTCACTTTGAGGACTAAGGTACGCCTGACCCAAGCCATGGTATTTTCAATCGCTTCATAGGCATGTGAAAGCTGGACAAGGAACAGGGAAAACTGAAGAACTGATGCCTTTGCATTATGATGTTGTGGAAGAATACGGAATATACCACGGACTGCCAGAAGAACAAACCAATCTGTCTTGGAAGAAGGACAGCCAGAATGCTCCTTAGAAGCAAGGATGGCAAAACTACGTCTCACGTACTTTGGACATGTTATCAGGAGGGACCAGTCCCTAGAGAAGGACACCATGCTTGGTAAAGTAGAGGGCCAGCAAAAAAGAGGACCCTCAATGAGATGGATTGACACAGTGGCTGCAACAATGGGCTCAAGTATGACAACAATTTGAGGATGGCGCGGGACCGGGCAGCGTTTTGTTCTGTTGTACGTAGGGTCACTAGGAGTCACAACCAACTCGACGGCACCTAACAACAAGATGCTAAAACAAAATAACTTGACAGAAGGATCGGGAAAAAATGCAAGGAGGCCTTCTAGAAAGAAAACAAAATGAGTAAACGAGCAAGAGAAGAGAAAACGTAAGGCATCTGGAGGTCATCTGGAGATCCAAGTCTCGGAGTTCCAGATAGAAGAGCGTATGAGGTGGGGTTGGGTGGACTGCAATGCAAGGAGCCACAGGACCGCGTCATGGGACTCTGCTGGCCCCACAGACAGCACCTGTGTACTAAAGAGGGAAGGGCTCGGCCAGGCACAGAAGGGTCAGGCAGGAGGCTCAGGGTGCCAAGGTGTCTAAACCCAAGGAGAGGAGACTTGATAGTGAGTATGAAGCCTGATAGACATGAACCTAGAAGACCAAGGGGTGTGGGGGGACCTGCAGCTACCAAGGGAGCAGGGGCAGGGTGGAGGGGCCAGGGATGGAGGCTCCAGGTCACATGGGCCAGCCTGGGATCCTTGAAAAGCGTAGACTCAGTGGAGAGTGAGGTAAGAGGTGGGTGGGGGTGAGAGGTAGGGGCTGAAGTGGGAGGTGGGGGAGACATGGGAGGAGGTGGGCACGAGGGGAGAGGTAGGGGATGTGGGAGGAGGTAGGGGTGAGGGGACAGGTGGGGGATGTGGGAGGAAGTGGGGGTATGGGAGAGGTGGGGGGAACACGGGGAGGAAAAACGCATTACTGGGTGCCAGTGGGAATGACCAGAAGAGGGGACTGACTAAGCAAGGAGGGGGAGATGAGGATTTGAACCAGGGTAGAAGTGGGGGGCTCAGCCCTCATGGTGGACAGGAAGAAAAGAAAGTTACCTGTTAAAGTTTTCATAATAAAGTAGGAAAAGAGAGTGAATGTTCAGACTCTTGAGAGTAGCCATGGGCTCAAGCCTGGGACCTGACCTCACCTTCACCCCCAGCTTATCCTGAAATGGGCCCAAATCCAGCCCACTTCAAATACCCACCCCGCCCCACCCAGCATGGGCCTTTCCCGCTGCACTCCCGCCCCCTGCTGGCCAATCTTCGCACTGCAGATTGGGGATCAGGTGGGGGACTGGACGACAGCCCCAGGTTCCCTTCCAGCCCAGGGCCCTGGTGGCAGAGTGCTTAAAGCACTAGGCTGCCAACCAAAAGGCAAGCGGTTCAAATCCACCAGCAGCTCTGAAGGAGAAAAATGTGGCAGTTGACTTCTATAAAGATTACAGCCTTGGAAACCCTGTGGGGCAGTCTACTCTGTCCTGCATGGCCACTATGAGTCAGAATCGACTCGATGGCAGTGGGCTTGGTTTTCCCATCCAGCCCAGATCCTATCAAAGCCGGGGATCCAGTCAGACTCAGCACTGTCTGTACCTCCTGTGCTGGACCTGTTGTACCTTCTGGGGGTCCCCAGACAAGGCTGGAGTGGATGGAGAGGGAAGGAGGGAGCCAGGAGCACGTCCAGCAGCCCACAGAGCACCTTCATCTTCCTCTGGTCCGTAGCTACGGTCCCGTCAGTCACCAAGCCGGAGCTCAGCGCCTGCTCCAGAAAGGCATCCAGCTTCGCACCATCATGCTCCCTGCTGGAGCCCGAGGTCTCCACCAAGACATAGAACGGACTCTCTGGAATGAACGAGAAAAGCAAGTCAGCCAAGTTCTAGGGGTGGGTCAGAGGTCAGAGGTCCCGGAGCAGCTCTCTAAACTCTACCCCTCCCTCATGCCCCACCCACACCTCCACCTGCACCTCCAGGTCCCGGCATCCTTGACTGTTCCCTTAGCACCAGTGGAAGTCCCAGGCAGCCTGGGGGCAGGAAGCCCTCAGTGAGGCTGCATGTCAGACAGTGGAAAATGTAAGTCTTACCAGGAAGGTCAAAGATACCCCAGGAACTTCCTGGATGACCCATCAACTTACCTTGCTATGTTCCCCAATCCGAAACTATCATATCATGACCTTACCCAACCCTACCCAAGCCCTCACATTGAAAATACACCTTAAATACGATTCCAGAGTTCCATAAACACCACAGTCATGCACAGTAGAGGCCATGGGGGTGAAACCCACCTGGAGAGTGGGGCATTAGCTGGAAGGGCTCTGGGTCATGATGACCACATGGGGCTGCTGTGCCAGCCGGACATCTGCCTACAGACCTCTTACTCACGCAAGGGTTGGGAGAAGAGTCCTCACTGTAAAAGGGACTCCCCCCCCGGAAACCCACACCCAAACCTAAAGGTGACAACATGAAGCCCCCCTTCCCTTCCCCGTCATGGTGGGTTCCTGGGCTGGGGCTTCCTGCCAAGGGGCTGAGCCCACAATGACCACGTGGCGGCCGTGGGGAGGCACTTGGCAGGTGGGATTAGAGGGTCTGTGGCTTCAAGCAAAAAGTCATAGTTTTTACCACAATGTCTATTTTCTTAATTTAAAACGTTACTTTTAATTTTTTTATATTTAAACTGTTTTGAAAGTTTAAAATTCAAATATGCATTACTAAGTTATTTAGAATTTTTTTAATATTTTAAAATATTAGCGTATTTTACATAAATATATATTGAACCTATTGAACTTAATAAATTTTTTTTTTCAAGGCTACTGTGAATTTGTTTTTTTACATGCACTGAAATCAGCCAGTGAAAGCTTACTGACTGGCACTGTCCGCTCTTGCAGCACTCCATGAAGAGTTCTTCCAGAAAAACATGACACCCTCCCACAGAGACCAGACACGTTTCAGACGCCGCCATTTTTCCATGCTTGACACAGACATTCTGCTCTTAAACGTATCACAGGTCCCACAGGACACCAGGAGGTTTTGTTAAATCACTGGCTCTTTTTCCCATTATAGAAGTAAAACATGCTTATAAAAAGAGATTTGGAAAACAAAGAAAAGTAAAAATGAAAACAAAAATCTCCCAGCTTCCCAAAAATGCTGTTATTGTCAGCTGCCATTCAAGTGGGCCCCTGACTCATGACAACTCCACGCACAACGGAACAAAACACCGCCCAGTCCTGCATCATCCCCACGACGGGTTGTGGACTGGACTGCTGAGCTCCATAGAGTTTTCACTGGCTGCTTTTCAGAACTCGATCGCCAGGCCTTTCTTCCTAGGTTATCTTCATCTGGAAGCTCTGCTGAAACCTGTCTGGCATCACAGCAACATACGAGCCTCCAGGGACAGACGGGTGGTGTCTGTGCATGAGGCGCATCGGCTGGGAATCGGCCACCACTGCCAGGAGGTGCCAAGAATAGCCGCTGTTAAGTTTTGACTTAGTTCCTCCTGGCTTTCTTCTATACAGGCAGGGAGATTTGCCCAAGTGCAAACCTCAGGGAGGACAGCGGAGTGCCCTGGTCTTTGCCCAAAACACGACGTTAAGAACAGCTTTCCTAACATGATGCCCACTGGCCACACAGTGCTCCACCTGGCAGACCCCCACCCGCCA